TGTGTGTGTGTGTGTGTGTGTGTGTGTTTATGTATGTGTTTATGTGTGTGCACACATGTATGCATGTTTGTATATGTGTGTGCATATGAATTAGGGGAGAGAGGTGCATGTACACGTGGAAGCCTAAAGTTGATTTCGGGTGTCTTTCTCAACTTTTTATTTATGGAGTTATGGTCAGAGATTACCAATTCTGGCTAGTCTAGTTAGCCAGCTGATGCAGAGACCCCAATGGGCCTCCCTAGTGCTAGGATTACAAGCATCAGCCACACCTGCCTGGTACCCTGCTTAAGTGCTGGGGATTCCTCTTGCCTGTTTCTGGCCACTGGTGGCTCCACTGAGCTCCTTTGAGTAATACCACATTGCAGGAGAAACCATTCTTAGGTGGTCATATCACCAGAATCACTCTACCCCAAGGCAGTGGACCACTAAGAAAAATGTGGGCCTCAGAGACAAGTCAGTGGTGATGTGTTGGCCCGAATGGGGTCTCCCAGCAGGCACCTCATAAGATCTGGGTGTGGTGGTGTGTTCTTGTAATCCTGGGGAGGCAGAGACCAAAGGATTCCCGAGACTCACTGGCCAGCCAGTCTACTGGAATCGGTGAACCCCAAGTCCCAATTAGAGACCTTATTTTAAAAAATAAATAAAAAGAGGTGAATGGCTCTCCAGGAGTAACACCCGAGGTTGTCCTCTGGCTTCCACAGGCGTCTGCATGCATGTGCACCTGTACACAAGCATGCACACACATGCACACACATGCACACACAAAAGGAAAGTACAGGTGGCCATCGCTCTTGCTGCCTGTTTCTTTGTCCGTGGAAACCCTTTCCTCTTCTCTCCTTTCCATCTTATTTTCATACACCTCGTGGATATTTCTAGACCTTTTGACATCCTCCTTGTTCCTTCAGTCTACACATGGAGATGAAATAAACCCCTGTTCTCCAATCACCTGCCCATACACACTTTCATAGCTGACTGGGCATTTAGTCTTCATTTACATTTGGAGGGACCAGTCAGTTCTATAAATCCAGCTCCTTCATTTCATGTCAGCACCTGGACTTTGGTTTCATGATGTTTATTTTGGAACCCAGTGGGTATGCATACCATGACAAAAGAACACGCCTTCTCTCCACAGAGAGCAGCTGATCTCCAGGCTGCACTAACCATCTTGTTCTCTCTGCTTGCAGCTGAGTGACTGCTTCAGAGGCGTGGTGTTCGACAGCCTGGAGACGCTCTTTGCTCGGAGTGCATCCTCCGCCCTCCTCTGCCTGCTAAAGGCCATTGGCAGCCGGGAGCACATATATGTCCTCAACATGGCTCAGGACTATGCGGCCATGAAAGCCCAGGAGAAGGCCAAAAAGGAGCTAGAAGGCAAGGCCCCCAACCTCCCTGCTGTCCTTCCCGAGCCCAACGGGGCTTTCCTTGCCAAGGGGCCTTGTGCTTTTCACCCCGATTCCCTGGTACAATAATCCATCCAATGGGCTTAAATGACGTTGTTACACTTTACCTCTGCCCTGGGAAGTGACTGGGGCACTTGCTTCTAACTGTAAACAGGCTAAGCAGAACAAACACACTGTGGGCACATCCTGGCCTGGGATGCTTTGCTTGCTGGTCTGGTTTAAGACAATATGCAGTTCCTCTGAGCTAATAGGGCTATTTTGTGCACTCTGGGTCATTTCATCCTCACCAGTGAAGATTATTATTTTATAGATGAAGACAATGTAGCCCCACAATACAAAAGTCTCCTCAAACTCACATGATAGACGGATATGATGGCACTCAGTAGGTGAAGGACGGATTGTAAACTCAAGGCTAGCCTGGGCTACATAGCAAGACTACAAGTACAGTACATTCAGAGGGGAGCTACTTCTCTTGTTACCTCAATGGCCTAAAAAAAATTAGTCATTTAAAAAACTGATTTAAAAATAGATAACAAGGGCCGTAAAGATGATTCTGCAGGTAAAGGTGCTTACTACCAAGCCTGACAACCTGAGTTCAATCGCTGGGCCCCACCCAGATGGTAGAAGGAGAGATACAACTCCCACAAGTTGTCTTCTGATATCTGTATGTGGACTGTGGCACACGTGTGCGCACATGCACACACACACACACACACACACACACACACACACACAGTAAATAATGTAACTTTAAAAAGAAAAATAGATACAACAACATAAAAATAATGTTACTTGAATTAGTCTTAGTTGAGTCAGAAGCAGGTTAGCAAAGCATGGCCTGTGGGTGAGGATTTGGGGAACTGCTGCCAGCACTGTCCCCAGGAGGTAGAGCCCTGCTTCTGAGAATCATCAGCTCTGGATGCCCTCCTGTGCATCACTGGGGCTCTTCTCTCAGGGAACCAGCTGCACAGCTCAGCATTTTAAAGTAAGGGAATTTAAAGCAGACCTTGTTCGTGAACAGAAGTCAGTCTGCTTCCTCATATTCTCATCGGGAACCATGAGCAGGCTCCTTTGAAGTATTTCAACCTCCTGCTTCCTAGTTATCTAGAACTATTTTCTATAATGATCAGCTTGAAAGAAATGGCTTGTTATTATTATTAATTGTTATTTTCTTGATGATCTTTGGGCTGAATCCATATCTCTGACACAGAATCGGTGTCTGGTGAGGACCAGCTTGTGTTCAGCCCCAGTGTCTTCTTGCTGAATCTTGGCCTGGTAGGAAGGGCATACTCCTTCATTTGAAAGGACACTAATCCCATTGATGAGGGCCCCACCCTTATGACCTATTCATCTCCTAAGACCCCACACCTTAACACTTTTATATTGAGAGTTAAGTTTCTATCTGTGAATGTAGGGAGACACAGACATTAATACCACAGACATTACAAGCTTGATGATGTGAAGCAACATGGATTTATTATGTCACAGTGCTGGGGTCAAAGTCATAACGTCTAGGTATTAACAGTGCTGTGGGCCTGTAGAGGCTGCGGTGGGCAAGGGTCCTGCTTTTCACAGCTTTCCGAAACCACCTTTTAGAATTCCTTGACTCACGTCCCTTCCTTGCAGCCCACATCACAGAGCTGCTGCTGCTTCTGTCAGCTCTCTGCTTCTGCTGCTCACCCTCTCCGCTCCTGCCTCCCTCCCATAAGGAATCTTTTCAGGGGACTCTGCCTAATTCTGTCATGTCTGCAGAAGTCCTCCTGCCCCCGGAAAGCCCCACCTTCACAAGCGTCAGGATTAAGGCTTGGGCATCTTTGGGGACCACTCCTCAGCCAACCCTAGATGGAACCCAAACTTGGCACTGTAGAGATAAAGGGAACCCAGCAGGGACCGGGGACCCCATCTGTGCTCCTGCCACCTCCCACTGTCGCTGTGTGGGCAAAGATGCTCAGACCTTGACCTCCCCCTCCCTATCCCCCTCCACTCCACAGAGCGCAAACACAAGGAGGCTGCTGCGAAGGAGAAGGAACGTCTCCGAACGTTAGATGAGGAAGAATATGATGCCCTGACACCGGAAGAGAAAATCATGTTCGACCGTGAGGTTCGGCAGGCACTCCGGGAGAGAAAGAAGAAGTGAGACCAGTGGCTGGCCAGAGCAATGCTGTCCCCTGGGGAGGGACTCATGGGGAGACCAGGGTTGGTAGGGTATATGCTCTGCTCTGATTTATCTTCCAGAAAGATAGCAGCAACCACAGAAGACCTGGAGGGATACCTGTGGAGGGAGGGTGGGGAAACCCATTTGGCTACCCCAGGGCCCCAGCTGCTGAAGGCTTTCAGGGTATCTCCTGCTATCCTCTGCTCCCTCCTGCTGGGGTGTTTGAGACTAGCAGGGAAGATTTCATGTCTCTATGCTCTCCTAAGATCCTACTGGCTGCCCTAGCAAATGAATTCTGGGTAGCACTTGTTGTCTGCAGCTAATGACCCAGGGACCACTCTGTTGACAAGGGTATAGAGACCTAACTGTTCTCCCACTTCTTAAGCCCACATCTGGCTGCCTCTGTATGATCCAAGCACATCCACTCAATACCCATCACTAGGGACCGAGAACTAGATCTCTCTCGATCTCTCTCTCTCTCTCTCTCTCTCTCTCTCTCTCTCTCTCTCTC